CGGCGGCGGGGGGGCCTCTGCCCCGACGTCGGGGCGGCGGCGATGCCCGTGCCGTGCCGAACGGGTTCGTCCCTGAGCGGACCGGGATCCCGGCTGTCGCCACCCATGCCCTGCCCCTTCACGACTCACGCCCCGAAGCCACCCGGGGCTGAGTTGAGGTTTAGGAGGTCTAGGAGGTTTCTCCCTCTCTTCTCTGCGTCGGCCCCGCCTCGAAAGCCCGCTGGGTTCGGCGGCACGGTGTATGGCTGCTACCGCCTGTGGCCCAGCGTCGCGAGGTAGTGGCAGGGAGTCGAGAACAAAGTTTTGTCAGTTCTGCCAAAGTTTTGCAACTGCAAAGAGGTGCTCGGAGCAGGAGCTGTCCGGAACCAGAAGCTGCCCACGACAACTGGGCAGAATCGGGCTGCGGCAGCGTCCCCGCGGGATCGCGCCGCAGAGCTGGAGAGCCGCGGTAGGCACCTGGCCCAGCGGGATCCGCTGCCTTTCCTGCATCCCGCGGCAAGACAGCTACCCAAATACAAACGGTGGCTAGAGAAAGGAACGTGAAATTCACGGCAAGTCGGGTTGCTTGAAACCTAAATGATAATGTCGGATGCGGCGGACTTGTAACGTTCTGCGTTTCCGTACGCAGAGGGGTTTCTCGCTGAAACACTGGTATTTCCCGTGTGGCAGCGAGAACCTTGAATCCATATCTGGAAAAACCAGAAAAAGTTATATGCGTTTTGGCTGGGGGTAAAAAAATTTACTGCAAGAGTCCATCTGCCGGCGGCATAGCGTCCGCGGGTGGGCAGGGGCTGCTCCTTGGACCTGAACCCATTTCGTTGCCTCAAGACCTCCCCTGTTCTTCCCAGGCATCTCTCCACCATAACCACTACACGAAATAAAGGTTTTAGCGAGGCTATGTAGTAACGAAAGCAGATTTAAAACTCGGGAAGTATTTCGCCGGAGAGAATAAAAGGCACAGTGTACGCTAAGAAGGTATTTGCGTGGTATTTCATTACTAGGCTCTTTCCTTGTTACTTTTCTACTTCTAGAAGAAGAATGATTCAGCGTGATCTCTCTCCCCCGGGCTGCGCGAGGGGTGTGAGGAGGATGAGCACTCCATCTGTATATCGCACCGAGCCAGGGAGGTGAATCGGATCAGATACGGGGAACAGTGCATTTTCTGTCAGTGCTAGTAGAACATATTTTTTTTGCTGCCGGAGTGCATGCACTGAATCCTGCAGCTCGCAACTGGCCTCCCCTGAGGGGCTTCTTGTGCGCTCGGGAGTCCCCATCGAGGGGAGAAAAAGAAAGAAGTGGACCACCCTTTCAACTACCACAAAATTACTTGCAAGTAAGATGATTCGCATCTACCCTTGGAAATCCGTTCCATCTAAACGAAGAAACGGGGTGCAGCTCCTAGGGGGTGGTGATGGTGGTGGAAAACCCCACTTCCCCACTAACTGGAGAAGGTCCTGCGGGGCGCCTCCGCCACCGCAGCCGGCCGGGCGGCTGCCAGATCCCGAGCCGAGGTGCCCAGCGCGGCGGTAGGTTGGCAGAGGACCGGGGACCCCTCTCTCGCTTGGCTGCACATCGGGCGTTTAGGCTGAAATACCCGTTTGATATAATACTGTAATCCTTTTCTCATACTTGATGGGAATGGTTTCCATGTCCCAGTATTTGACAACATCTAGCCATTGGGCCAGATTCGCATTTATGTCAGCAAAACGTCCCCTGCCTGAAAGTCTATTGTAACCTAACACCTGACAACCCCGGTTCCCATTTCTGCTCGCCGAAAAGGTTTATTCAAGCACATAATGGGATCCCAGCAGAAAGCTTTTCAGACGAAGTGGCGATGGTAAATTGCGCCACATGAACTCCGTTTCCAGGGCTATTAAGCTTTTAATTGCAAAATAGCAGAGGAAATTTCAAGGTGACAATGAGGTGTTAGCACTTAGCGCCCAGAATAATAGACAGAAAGAGAATGAATGTGCGAAACATATGCTGCAAATAACATTTAGCGGAAAAGACCGGCTCAGCCAAAGGGCCAAAGAGCTCCTGCCGACCAGGCAGCGCGGGGAACAGGCTGGAAACCGGCCGGAATCCGCTGACATTTCGCGACTTTTCGATGTAGAGCCATTCGGAGGACTCGGCGCTACCGCCCAGCCGCTGGAACCCGCCGTGAGCCGCGTCTCTGCCGGGCGGACACGGGCGGCCGCAGGGTCTGCTGCGCCCGGGTGCCCCGCCGTGAGCCGCGAACTGCGGGCGGAGGAGGGGGTCGGGCCGGAGGGAACACTCCTTTCGCTAGTGCTTGCACTGCTCTAAAGTAAGCTTTTGGGGAGGGGGCGTTTGGGATGCTGGTGACCACTTGAGCGAGTGCGAACGACAGGATTAGTTCGCCTCACCCGAACTGCTTTAAGGCATTACCGGCGTTAGAGAGAGAATACAGGAATAAATTAGGCACGATCTCCCGCTCTGAGAGTGACTCTGGGCGTCTCTGGCCGTCTGTGAGGGCACACAG